GCATCACAGTAGTATATAAAGAAAGATAACGAAACCAGAGATGCGTTTAATCGAACTCCAAAGATACTACACCTTCACAAATTTGCACATAGCAACAGACTGTGAAACAGAATTTAGTGATACAAAAATACTGCCCCACGATGACTAAAACAAAAATATAAACCTAGTTGTTTATTTTTGACGAGACTACGACGTTCTGTATATTTTGTAACGAATTCAAAAATATACATTCGAAATTAGCTGATTAATACGATATTATTGGTCAAGAATCAGAACAATAAATAGATGATTCACCTCATGAACTGTGGTATTAAGCCTGGTAAGTCGTTCACTAGGTTTATTAGGAAATTGTTTGTTGTTTCTGGCTGATATACCTCGAAGAGGCCCATCAAAAACTCAATAACAAAGCTTTGTTACAAACGATGTCTTTTACTTTTATGTGGGACAATTGAGGTTAGCCGTAAATTACGACAAGTAATCCTAAATAACTGTAATCTTTTAAAATTGCTGTCGAAAAATATAATTGCACTGGATCATTTTTGTTGATAGGCTTTATTTATTTTCTGTATTTTAAGATCTTAATAAGAGTTTTACTGTATCTGACCAAAACTCAAAACCGATCTTAAATCCTAAACATATTTGGATATACTAATAACAATATAGTTTTTAATAAAAATAACCAATGTTATAAACTCTCAAGTTCATGGTAATATAGTTTAATTTAGTTTCATCGAATAAAGCAAAATAATATCAAAATAGAGCCCCTGCATAAAGCTTCACACACACATTCTTCATTCTTCCGAATTTGTCCTCCGATATTTACTTTTTAACCGCTACCAAATAAGTCCTCGAAATGATAAACAAACTTCAATTACCTTTCAATCTCTTGTTACTTTTTATCATAACCATTGTGAACATACTGAAATTGAGTCCTTGATTGGTAACCTTCTAAAGGGACGTTTACGTAATACCCATGATCCACGGATTTGTTGTCAAGGTTATGTCCTTTCGATCGGTCCCGTAGGGAGAGAGTCCTTGCGTTTTGATAATGTCTAGTCACAAGTTAGCGTTGAAGGTCTCACTTCAAATCAAGGACTTGTAAAATTACATTTGGGCATTTCGAGTGTGGAAACTTTATCTGGGATTTTATATTTGAAGAATGTGTCGATAAGGCCGCCATTTGTACTAACCTAGTTCTAGACAATAATTTTATATTTATATCTGGTGTACAATAAAGGGATATGTTAAGAATTTGTCAATGTTTAAATATACCGAATTTTGAACAGAAAAATATGAATTTCATTGCTAAAGGTTTAGGTATAATATAATACAATATAAGTACAAAAGCCTCACTAGAAATTTGAAGATAATTGGAGAGTAATCTACTTACATACTCAATTAATCAATCATTAACTACATTATATTTAGGTACTGAGTATAAGGCCGCAATTGCCGTTTCCGTAGCCTACGGTATCAAAAGGTGTGATAAAAGCTATTTCAGCCACAAGTTCACAATAGACATCTATCTTTTTGACACCCTATTCACAGTAGGTCCCTACTGAGTTTCGAGCGGATAAAACTAGGTTTAGTTAGATCGCGAATATTGGTCTTAGTATCGTCGGCACCATCTAGACTTACGTATGTTTCTGCTAATAAATCTTACTCAAATGCAATCCATTAGTGATTGGTCCATTTTGCTGTTATATCAATATCCCTAAAGGACAAACAAGTCGTCCCACACAAACTTCTACACACCCACGGAAACAATGTTCTAGTTTAGTGTCTACGCTTACGCGATTAACAACATAAATTTACTTGTAAACTGTAAACCCTATAGTTACTACTTTGTGGTAAACAAAATAAAGAAATCGATGAGTTGAAAACAATTCATGTCTTTTTATAAACAGTCGCCCACGAATATGATAAAAGTTTATAAATAGCTGCGATTTATTTATAAAACTGTTCCTCTATTGCTTTAGCAATGTCAAAATGTTTTGATGAATTTCATATCAATCTTTTTGGATGTAGCGGGGTTCATCATCTCCTTCCATGTCCTTTTTAGACACCGCCTACATATCAGTAGGCTTTAATAGGCACCTCAATTCAAATATGTACTTTATTAAAAACAACTCTCTTCTTTCTAAAAAACTATTTACATTTTATAAAATAAAGTTAGTAAGACAACGAAAGCTCATTATAAATGTGTAAAGACATTCACCGACACACAGCGATAAGTTATTGTCTTTTGTAATCAGTCGGCAAAGTTTGAGGTTTCAAGTTGTCCTGCCTATTTACTTTAATTTTGGTTAAAGCACTGTATTATTCGTAATGAATAAATAATCCTTAAGTAACTGCGTAACCTACTAGAAAGGTTCTAGAGAATTTATATACAACACATAACAAGCTAGAACAAAGAAAATTGCAATACAATTTATTTGAGCATCATTTAGACAGGTGTTCAATATTCCGAACGCTAGTCTGTTTACGAAAGCTAAAAGTAGAAAGTGTATGCTATTGTATAAACAAAATTTAACAAAAGAGATTATAAAACATAAAAGGCAAACACTGAAATGATGGTTATACCACTTGATCGTTTAACTTGTTTAAGCCACGTCTGTTTCTTTCATAGAAATGTCATGAAAATTTGAGTATTTCATGAACGTATCCGTTATCGTTACAAATAAAATAGAATCATACTCAACAGGATAAATATATAGTAAAAAAGTTACTTAAAGAGGTATTTAAAGAGGTGAATTAGTTAGCCTATTTGGAGTTTTTACTTCAGGACAGAAATACCTATCTGTATAATTAATTAAAATAATTAAACTGACTAACTGTTGTCTATTAGTTCTGTATAAGGCGTTCTTAACTTACACTATGTAGGTACTCACACGAATCCGTGGGTCATAAAGTATCTTATCCCTGTGAACAACTGAAGCTGTAATGTGTAAAGTATGTTCATTTCGATGAATATTTTCGTCATAGCATATTAGGCTGAGTACGAGTAATATTTCACAACATACCATTTCAAATATTTTCTGTGTAAGTTCTGAACACGTGTTATGAATTAATCTCTAAACACATTAAGAACGACCCAGTTGAGCCTATTATATTTCCATATTTAATATTAGTGCAGCGTCGCACTCAAAGTATTTTAATACACCTACCGAAAATTATTTATGTAACGCGGAAAGTTAATTTAAAACACGATATTTCTTTTGGCAGCGAGACGCGACCGAATGATATTATTTGGCGCCAAACGTAAATAAAAATGGCGACGTGTCGCCACTGATACATTAGTCTTAGTAAGACATCAAAATTTTTTAATGCGACATTCTTAACTTGAACATCTATACCTATTTTAGATTTTATTTGTAGCAGATAGATTTTATTTACATTGTTTAATTATATGTATCCACTGAATAGTTTACTTTAATGTCTTGCAAAAAACATTAAAGTAAACGATAGAAAATAATTAGATCCCTAACGTTATATAGAAATAAACCATGCAATCGATAAAAATGTGTCAATGGTTCGGTGAAAATATAAAAGCAATATTGTGTAAGCTCGCTGAAAACGAGTTTGTAAGCAATCGTAACTTCGTAAGCCTTTTGACGATCATCGACGGAAACGTCATAGGATTTATGATTGGTTCTTGTTGATGGAGTAGTATAAAGGGTTTACGTCACAATGCATTGTTTACAATACAAGGCATCTATGATAATTTTATAGCACTAACGTATAACCCAATATTTAGTCCTACTTTTTTACATTCTGCGTAACAGTATGACAGCCGTACCTATTTACGATTTAAGCCACGTACGTATGTATAGTCTGCATATCGGGCATTTCTTGTTGTAAACTGAAAAGCACGAAACACAAAATGAAATTTAAATAGCAAAAAAACAAATAGTCAATAATCATATGATTTTACATAACATTTGTTTTATTCTAACTTTATATTGTTATCAAACAGACAAGCGGCATTCCGATGTATATAACAACGTAACAACGTCACGTTATTTCCTAGGGTTATTCAACTATTCATTTGCTGACGTGTATTCTACCCATAAATATTTCAGAATATATTTGTCACGTAACAAAGTGTTTTTATTAGTAGTATGCAGGACTTGCTGCAATGAAACACTACTACTGAACCAAAACCTATAAACATTTTGTCGAGGTCAGCAAATAAGACGAAGGCGAAGGCCAACTATAAAATTAACAGCTTCTTGCACTTATGTAAGGGGAGACGTTTAGTTATTTATTTACTTTTCGCATATTTACTATGTGTAGTAAAAATTATTTCAGACTTTGTAAGTTGTAATAAAACCAAGGAATACTTACATTAAAGATTCACTGAGGTGTCAGTGACCACAAAATAATTAGTTTTAAAATAATTCCGCACTGTAAATGTAGCAAGAAATGCTATCTGACTTGTTGAAGAGAAACAAGCGTTCTTTACTGACGTTTGTCGGTCATTAGCTGAACGCGTGTCACCGAGACGTGAAAGTAATGAATGAAACTAAAGCTCGCCAACTAAACGCCACGTGAGTTTGTTTCTTTGTCGTTCATCCAGTACCTTTTTCTTTTTATTAACGGGGTGGAAAATCCCTTCGGATCGCCTGCTCCTCGGGGACTCAGGAGCCAAGAGTATGTGGTGATTCTACTGAAAACCACCCCGACGGCCGGCTATAATAAAATTCGATAGCATCGGAATCTTTTACGGAAGTTTTAATTAAATTTATAAAAAACATAGTAAAAGTATTGATTTAGAATGTATTATGTTAACCTTTTTACAAACTTTTTTTTTTACTTTATTGTAAGTCTATTTTTACTTCACTTCACGACGCAAAGACTTATTATGTTGTAGTGTTGGAAAGATTTTGAATGAAAACAAAACATAACAAAAACAACACAGTTTTTACAATTCCCAGTCTATTTTTAATTAATTTTAAACATGTATTTACATTGTTTCAGGTTTTTTTAAGACATTGATCATGAAGGACGAGCGTGCCAGTCTCCCCCGCGTGCGCATAGCCGTCATTGGCAGCTCTCGAGTTGGCAAGTCTGGTGAGCAACATTTTATTTTCATCCATAACATGTCTAGATGACATCCTAAACAACTACGTTAATAATGTTTCTCTTAAATTATGAATAAATACTAACCAGTCTTGCAAATATAATAAATTGTAACATTATAAAGAACTACTAGCTGTACCCTGTCATGCTTCGCTATGACACATTGTGGTTGCATTGATGAGAAATGAGGAACCAAAGTGACCCGAACAATTAGATAAAAACAATCTATGAAGCAAGTTGTAATTTGTGTCAAAACTTGAGATGAATCGGTGCAGAACTTTGAGTTTTTGAAGCGTACTAAAACCAACTTAACATTTTAATATATATATGGTTATATTTAGTTATAAATGCGAATATAGAACATATTAGCGATCCATGGATAAAAGATCAGTCTAAATACCAATTTTGTTTACATGTTGAGTCTGAATAAATCCGGTTCACATACACGAAGTAAACTGAGTATTTTCCAAGAAGGTACTCGATATAATCTTAACCTGATAAATATTTAATCACAACACATTCATATAGTCCTACATAGTAAGTGTAAATATGACACCATATACAAATGTAGACTTTCATGAGGCTATACAAATATGGTAGAAAAACTCACTCTTATATTTTCATTGAGGTTAACATACAAACACCAGCATACGCTAGCTCGCCACTTCAATGAAATCTACCAAAACGTAAACTGATTATTTCTACTAATAGCTTTTATAAACAGCTTGAAACTAACGCCAGTCTTTAAAGACTCGTTAACTAGATCGACTTTAAATAAACAACTACGAAACGAATAATCAATTTAAACAAGAAACAAATTTCAGTTACCAGCCTTGACCGAAAATTAAAGACATCCGGTCTATTTATCCAGTGTTGCATCATTTGGAACAGACCAATAACCTTATTACCTAATATTTTTGTGATATAATACTGTATTCAAAAACGTGAGTTATATTGATTTACAAATGTGTATGTATCTATATCTTAAAACTATACTGTCATGACTGAGATTTAAACCATATGAGGGATAAAATTAAAAAATAAATAATAATGAGATTTTTTAAATAAATAATGAAATAAATTAAATGAAACATATAATAAGTGTTCAAAAATTTTCATATCAGTAAGTAATAGATGATGAAGAGAAGCTTATAGGAAGTATTTATTACAGTTAATCACCCACAAAAAACTAGGCAGCTTAATATCACCCAAACTGTAAAATTTCGTATTTCGTAAATCTATTTCGTGGACGCCATTGTAATACTAGTGTTTATTGTTACAGCTCTCATCGTTCGATACTTAACAAGAAGATATATCGGCGAGTATCATTCTAATACAGGTCAGTAGTGCCCCCATTTACAACAAGATCAAAATTATGTAATGTTACAGTTGAACACTTGTTGATTTTATGATTTCCTTTCAGATTTGTTGTACAGACAGACAGTACCAATAAACGGCACTCCAGTTGAACTCGAAGTCATAGATGTGTCCGGTTCCAATTCTGACAAATTCCCCGCTGAACAGGTAATTTACGTAACTATTTAATACATTCTGTTATTTAATATTCTTATTTCAAGAGGCAACATGTTGACCACAGACTGTTATGCCGACAGTTGTGGAATGCGGTATGACGTAACTCTGAAAGGGACAAACATCGTACCAGGCTAGTTATTGTGGCAGTTGATTCGATAATAACCATCTGGGATAAAATCTTTATGTACTATACTGCTATTGCGTAATACCAAGTTACTTCTCCCCGAAAGAAAACGCTAGACAACTACTAATTCTATTACGTTTATTTGATCAAGGACTTGTTAGTATTATTGTAGATAAAATATTTGCTACGCAGCCTTAGAACGATCTCTCGAATTTCAAGTGACCTCAGATTCAAACATCAATAATATACAAGCAGTGGCAAATAAATATATATAGGTATATGTATATTCATATAGTTATAGGTCTACCGTAACTCCAGTAGTAAAAATACATCAAACACTTGTAGTATGTATGACACAAACGATCGTAAACTTTGACCTCCACTTTGACCAGGGCAATTTATACAAGGCAATGTGTGTAAATCTGTTTCAACGCATATATTAAAGTGTTATCAACAGTCTATAAACCAATATATAAATGTAGGTTAATAAAGTACCTTTTACCTTCGACGGTAATCCTCACCTTCACGAGATTAAGTAAAAACTAAAACGTTTCGACCTTTGGTTTAAAACAATAATAAATAAACAAATCAGTGAAAGATTAAGGGTGTCAAGTATTTTCATCGGAAAGGTCAAATTTTCTAAACAATTATTGTAACTTTAACCTTTGAGTGAATAACGATAGTAGGTATGGCTTTAGTAAAGATGAAATAAAATTGTTGTAGTTTTATTTCGTAACAGTTATAAAAAGAATTTATTATTTACCGTCCATATTTTTTGAATACTCAAGGAGGATGACCGCTTCTTTTTTATTTATGACGTGACGCAAAGGTAACACCGGCGATATAATGAGATAATTAGAATTAATTTAAATTTATACATAGATCTATTTTTTGTCGAGGCGTAGATTTTCAAAATAAAATTCTGAAACATGAAAATTGAATACCAGTGGCGCCCTTCCGCAAACAAAACGAATGAGTGGCCGTCGATGATTGCTTGCGTTTAATGTGCGAATAACTGGGTTAATCGTCTCGAATAATATAATACTAGTAACGTGAAACGATTGCAGGAACCGTTCCAGTGACCGCACTATGAATACCATGACTCATTACTGACACTGTTACTATTAATAGCTGTTACAATGCTGTCCTAATCACTTTAGCTACCTCATAGTACAGTCAAACAGAATTAAAGAATTTGTTTTTAATCAGTTATAATATCGCGTTGACAATACTTACATTTATTATTACATGATCAACTTTAAAAAAGTATCACTGATTTTAAAGCCCCTTCATCATGTTAAATCGTAAAATATTTTCATCCTTAAGGGTGGTATTTTTTCTTCAAATTTGAATGGGACCAAACAAGTGCGTTCCCCTCTCAAATAAAGAAGTATTTTACAAATATAAAAATAAAACACAACAAAGATAATAATTTTCTTCTCTTAAAATTTAAAAACAACAGTATGTAGTTTTTTTACAAATCAAGTACATATTTTCGGTCGCTTTGAAATATCGTATTATTATATTACCTAACAAGAAACCTTACGCATAATTAATAACTTTTTGTTGGTTTATTGTCCTAAAGTAAACAAGTCATTGGATAACAGAAGCCACACACTTTTTTTACCTTTACACTTAGTTCTTTTTGTAGACACGAAATACCCCGGCAAATGTTATTGACCAGTAAACAAAGCATGTTTGATCATCTAAAGTGAATTTACAAGAATGTTTACCTGGCATTAAATTTCTTTTGATAAAAGGATTCTTATAGCGTCATCTAAGTATTAACTTTGATATTTCGTTCATAACAATAGCTTCGAGCATGTAAGAAGGATTTTCCTATTTGTTTTCTGCTATAGACCTTTGCTAACATCACTTCGAACTTCAAGTCTATTTTCTTGAACGGTAAAAAACAAATGTAGTTTTGTATTGTCCACAACTATGACTGTGCTCAGCGCTTCGATGTTAGTAATTGCGTAGCTCTCGCGGCGTGGGTGCTCCCGTGAATCGTTTGAACATCTAATTTTAAGATGGAATGTTGGCTTTGACGATGCAGGATTAATTAAACACATTCTCCTTCCTCTCGACTCTTCCATTCAAAGCTTTGGCAAATTTATTATAATTTATTGGCATTTATGGTTTTAACGCGATCTTATAGAAATTGTCATCACTGTTGTGCTACGTCTTACACGTTTTATACTCAAATATTATGTGGTCAGTACAAACCTGTCGTCAATATTTAGTGTGTAAAAATTTCAAACTTTCCTGACTTTTTTATACCTTATCTACCTGATTTGTCTTCCCTTGAGTTTGCCAGATTTTGTTTCAACTAAATCCGTAAATATGTAGTTGTTTTATTCTCCTATTTTTTTAACCTAAATTATGAATTCTAATCGTTTGAAGGCAAGTTATCAATTATCTTATTAAAAGGGCACAACTAACATTATATTATATTTTTAATAGCTAAGATGACATTTAGTTCATTTCGTAATACGAGTATATCGTTGAATGCCCTGTTACAAACAACAACAACAACAACTTACAACTTGTTTGCTATTTAGGTTTCGTCATCAATCTTATGTAAGTATTACATATCGTTATGTAATGTAAGCTAATGTTCTCGACTTACTAGATAAATATAATACTACTAACGGATCTCGAAATAATCCCTCATGAATTTATTGGTGAACTTACGGTAATAAGGGTTTTTCAAGTTTAGGAAATCAGTTATTGTGATAACAAAGAAAAGTAGAACATAATTATACATAACAAACTTGAACATATGTATGTATCCTTTGTTACAGATCCAATGGGCAGATGCTTGTCTGTTAGTGTACGCAGTGACAGATCGTAGTAGCTTCGAATATGCAACAGAAGTGTTGAGCGCTCTGAAACGTGCGCCGACTAGTGGTAGCCCGGCACATGGGCCTGCAGGTGCGGCCGCGCCCATGCCGCTCGCTCTGCTCGGGAACAAAACAGACCTCGATCACCTGCGACAGGTTAGTACCCATTTGTTCTTTCATTGTTATTATTGGAGGGTTGAGTTAATTGCTTAACACTGTAACAAAAAGGTTTTACAGAGTTTGAGCACACGTTCTGATGGTTTACTCGTGCGTATCTCTTAATGGTCGATTACGATTCCCTCTACGATATATAATATAAATATTACGTTGATAAACGGACAGTGTCAGTATAACACCAATAGTTCGTATAGTAAATGATCTGTAAGTTATTAATTAGGTACCAATATATACTGCTAACTTATGTATCGATAGTACCGCTTCGTTATAATACAATAATATGTATTCGATACTTAAATTTCCTAAATAGTTGAAGGTTTTCGTGTATGAGACTGAAAATTGCGAATAGAAAACCTTAATCATGTATTACTCAACTTTAATTTGCAATGTATCAAATCCATAACAAAACTGAAATATCAAATTAGTCAAAGAATAAACACGATAAGAAAACTAAAAAATGCGAGTACGTTAGAAAAATCTAGACGGGTATCAATGAAACCTATATGTGTGTACTGCTAATCTAATATACCACGTCATGACACATTTTATTTAGTGTACCTACCTAACAGCGAACGTTTGTAGGATACAGACGTAAAAACTATATTTCAAATTAATTAGAGTGTGGTACTTATACGCCTACATTAACATAATTCTTATCACTTTTATACCAAGGCCAATTAGATATTAAAGAACACGCACACACAAAATACCTATGTGATGCTTAAATTGTTTGAATTTTAAAGAAAAAACTGTTTAATCTATTAAATTTAAAGCCTTTTTGTGTTTCTTAAGTCCCGATGATTATTGTCTTCCATTAAAATTATGTTCACAAAATACAACTAAATAATTTTAATGTTTTATCCAACTTGGTAGGCTATAATTCTTATAAAAACGTATGGTTATATTTTTAAACCCATTGAATAAATGGGCTAAATCAATAATCCAAATACCCACTAGAGAAGAAAAAGACAAGTGTTTGTTTACTTCTTATTTATTTACGACACCTAAATGTGACTGAACACGACTCTTCGTACGGAAAGTGGATTTGAACATAAATACAAATGTTCGTCAAAGGTTCATATGACGGGAACCTTTTTATCTGTAAGTAGGAATCGATAACTTCTTTGCAAATGAATCGGGTTATTTATAGAATATCTGGAGGAGGCGAAAGCTGATCCAGATCGCTGTCAAGGTTACGTAACTGACGTGTAACATGAGAAAATAGACTTGAACGATTGACAAAACGTGTCAATCGTCTTTGAGTGACGTTGCTTAAATAACGAAAATGACAACAAAAATAAATATACATCACTTTGATTATTCAGCAGTAAGAAATTTGAATATTTTTAAGTGGAAGTAAAGCGGGTAAATACCTATCTTGAATTTCTCTCCTCAAATCTTCTTAATGAAAGTCATTGCGCAAAATTGAGTAGTAGCATAATTATACAACTTCTCAACGTCCACCGCAGGACTGCGGTTACGGATCTTCTCTCTGTGTTGGAAGCATATAACATCCGTTCCTCCACAAAATGGTTACATATAATGCTTACTACATTACGATATTGATACATTTGATTAATTATATTAAATTTAGTTTAAAATACAATAAATGCATATTTTAATCTAATCTACAAGGCACACCCTGGGGTTTTTATATTTAATTTATGTTTGATACATTTTCCTTTAATGTATTTAAAAAAAAAAAAACATGTGTGGCCAATGCCCATGTAACAAATTTGGCGAAAACATATTTAATTTTTATAAATACAAACTTTTTGATTTATTGGAAAAAGTATACATTCTAATTTTGAATTATGTAGTCTGTACAAGCTGTCATCCTCAGTAGATGTTACAGCCAATACTAAAATAGTATTGCGCAGTTTCACGTAGCTCCTATTGTAGGAGTAATCGACACGAAGTCATAAATAGCTCTGTCACCAGTATTTGAATTCTCTGTCTATGAAAGGAATGTACACAGTGCTAGAAACAGATAGCTTTGTATCGTGTATAATAGGTGGTGGCGCATGAATCCCTACGTTGTTGTCTCATATCGGCGAAACTTTACTCGAACACTCAAAGCTTCGCAAGCAGACTTTGATGTGACGGCACCATAATGATGTAATATGAAGATAATGGCTTGTACCTACTACTAGTATTACATATCATTATGTAGGGTGATGGTATTGTAGGTCGACTTAGCCGGCTCTTTTTAATTGCTCAATTAAATTGATTTTAAGGCGACACATTTAAAATTAACTAACTAAAAAAAAATCTCATAAAGAGAGCTTTGATGTGAAAAAAAGACGTTTTTAGATTTATCCAAAGTGTAGTAAAAACTTAAATGTAGAAATGGTTACCCTACCCTATCTGTATGCTAAGCCTCCGCTGTCCGTTCGTCTGTCCATCAGCGGGCTGTATAACATATACTGTAATAGGTTACTATATTTCTATTAAAACTGTAAAAACATAGTAACAAACAATAAAATTTAATAAAAAATATATTTTATTGGAATAACGTGATTTCTGTAAATGCTGGTTGGTTTTGTTTTTAAACCGTTACATGTTATTATCCTTTTTTTATTTTTTAAATAAAGAATTAAGTTGCCAAAAAAACTAGGATAGTAATTACTATATAAACCAGACTAATAACAAGGAATTTATAATAAGAAAAGTTTGATGTCTTCGTATCTACAAGCTTGTTTGCCGTATCCCGCTTTAATTTATTTTTCAAACTAAATTCCCGCAAAAAGAGCTTTAATATTTGCTTTAATTTTTGGAAATAAAATATAAAGTCAATTATATGTAATCAAGGACATAGACTTGCTAAAAAGGAAAGTATCTACTTAATCTTCTAACCTTGTCCTGTTACGTAACAAAATTTTGCGTAACTTAAATCAACAGCTTAGCAAAGTCTACTTAGAATTAAGTATCGTAAAACAACCTGAGGCTTTAGTCTCGTTGGTAACGATAAAGTTTACAAATCGACGGTAATGCTTGAAAAGTTGATGTTGTTTCTATCTCAACCCGTTTCAAAATATATTATTAAGCACAGCAACTAAAATGTAATTAGTAAAAAGATGGTTAGGTAAGAAAATTAAGTACACAGATTTGATTAAATATAATAAGTTTCAGAGTTGGTAATGTCAAGGGATTGTACTTTAGTGAACCTTTCAAAGGTTATTAAATAAAATTACAGTTTTATAAGTGAATAATAAGTTATGCTATGAACTTAGTAAATCTATGAAGTATAATAGTACCTTCTAATGGATCGATAGTAACCTTGTCATTACAGCTATATGACATAAAGTACTGAACGAGTTTAACAACTAGAGTTTAGCACTTTTATGCCGCGTTCAGGCCTTATTTAGAAGTTAGAGGAAAACTGAACCTATTCATATTAAACAAAAAAAAATCCTTGTCAACAGGTCACTACAAAGGAGGGTCAGGCAATAAGCGCTGCACATGGTGCTTCGTTCAGCGAAGCAAGTGTAGCGGATAACTCCGGTGATCTCTACCGTGCTGTTGACCGTCTTCTCTCCGAAGTGCGTACTCCTCAGCGTACGCGCAAGTTCTCCGTCACCAAGATGCTTGGATCATTAATAGGTAAGAATCCAAATATAATTTTCTAAGTACCAAATAATTGAGGACAACCGATATTTATATGAACATATTTACATAATATAATCAAACAAACCAGTCATGTAATCAAAGTTTAATATAAAAAGAACTTTACCTTGAAATGTATGAACTCGCATCGCTTGAAAATTGTATTCTAATAGTCTATGTTTTGTTTTATAGGTGGTGCAACCAACAACAGCCAAGCAAACCGCAGTGGGTCAGTAGTAGCCTGCCCCCGCGTGCCTGCGCCGACGCGACCCGCGCTTGCCGCAGCAGCCCCCTGACCGGGAGCCGCGCCCGCGCATCGTGCGCGCTGATGCCTTGCCGGCGCCGGCGCTGTGTGGCTGGCCTGCCTGCCTGTGCCCACCCGCTTCGCAACGCCACCTCCACTATCCGCCACTCTAGTGTGAACTGACAGTGTCGTAATAGTGTCAATGAGGTCGTTCTGCGACGGTGTTCCTCTTGCTGAGCTGGACTTGTCACCAAAGACTATCCTAGTCAATTTAATATTATCTTACGTGCATTAGCAGAATGTGCTTGGATCTCGCACTGTAGCAGAACTTCTATGTTTTGATGTAGATATTTGACAATAATGAAATTGTTGTAATGTAAGTAACTGCGATACCGTGTTTGTAATCACATATACGAGTATATATGTGCTAAAGATCTGCTAACGACAAAAGAAAATACTACTTACATTAAATTAAGACCATTAAGATCTTGAATTGACTCAGTAACTAAATACTCACATACATATTTCAAAGCAACCCTAAAACATTATTTGCTGTTAAGTGTTTTAAGATATTTACGAAGTTTAACAGAAATTTATATGTTTATTGATAAATTGTATAAATTCATATGTACCTAATATAAATGTAAAGTGGTAAGGTGCCTAAAACATGGAATTACGTAGGTACCTTCAAATACATGTAATATAAAATCTTTATGGCCGTAAATTTTCTACTTTTTCACAGTATTATTAAATTCGGTGTGGAAAAAGCAATCAGCTAATGGATTATTTATCTCTACTCTAATACTGGGTACTGTTTGTTCACAATAGAAACAGTGCTAGAATTTCATTAAAATATACGTAAACTGTAATCGTCGGCCTAAGTATATCAATTTTGAATTGTAGTAAATTTTTATGTGATTCTAATTTAGCAATCTTATACATATTTTTGTATTTCTCCAAAGACTAGCTTTTATGCTGGTTATAACAGCTACACATACGAATATTATTGTTCTTTCTACTCAAGTGTTAGTCATCTTCTAGTCATAGATTAAGGGCTGTGAAAAGACATTTAGAATGTTCTGAAGTGTAATGATATGTGACGGTCTGGATAAGTAATTCAAATCAGATTTTCCTAATACCCACAAATATTATGTGTTAGTTTAGGAATTGTAAAATGGAAACAATTCTTTGTTTAATGGAGTATGTACGTACCTGATTATATGTGTATCTTAACATATAATAACATCATCTCCAAGTAAGGCTTCATCATAAATCTTGTATACTATCATAAATATATTACCCCTTGATAGATGTTTTGTAATTTGCCATCATCACTATTACAACCAATCAGGTATTCTACAATGGTGTTACTGAATGTCTTATAGAATTGTTTCTTCGTCATGAAGGAGTTGTTGAATGTAAAGTATGCCTTACAGATGTAATTGTTGAAATGGTATAAGCCATAACAACTTAGAAGCGAATAGTTTGGACGTGGGAGATTGTAAATAATTTAAATTGTTAAAGGGACTATAATGTCGGAACTGATTGGTATAAGTTGTAAATATATTTAATTGGTTAGCTTTAATTATATTAAACGTTTATAATAATTACATATTTTTTTACTTTAAAACACCATAACCTGTGTTTTTGGAAATCCCTTCCCTTGACTCAACCTTAAAAATATCTGAAAAATATAAAACAGGAATATATAACTCATTACTGTCAGGAAAAATAGTTGCAACATTATCTCAGGTCTTCTAAACTTTTGAACCTGGTAGAACTTCCTTCTTTGCATCTGTTACTAATATAGTCCTTGTGGTGATAGACTAAGAATACGGAGTGTATTTATCCCGTGAGTGTCGTAGGAGTCGACTAAGGAAGCAAACTACGTACGATTGCAAAGAGAAGGAAAACTTGACATAAAACATATACCAACCCAACTCTTTTCTAAGGAGAGGCCTACGTCCAGCAATGGTCTATTAAAGGCTGTTGATGTGAATATAGAACTGAAGAAACCCGTATTAGTAAACTAATATAACAGATCAAATGCTAAATACAATTTGACTGATTCAAAATTCCGAAACGAAACCAGGTAACGTGCAGATTTTGAGTATAGGGTAAAAAGTATGAGCCGTATCCGATTCAAAGAATATATTTGGAGAGCCAATTATTTATTTAACTTAAGTTAAAAAATATATTGTAAAAAGCAATTAATATGCAATCTTATCATCACAGCAGTACGACATAAATTATTTTATCAATAGTTCTTATAAAATTACTTACCAAACTTTGAATGTACGTCCAAAGTACATACATACAACCTAACTTTTGCCATCGATCAACAAACATGAAACTCGTAGCCTGCAATTGGCATGGCAAAATATATTTCCCTTCTCTAAACAATATACCGTACTCATGTACGCTTGAAGAATTAATGAACGCTTACGTGAACGCGATAAACGAATACGTACCGTAACTAACAAGTTCATTCCTTTTTCAGCGGTATTTAATATTTTACTGACCTTTAGTGCTGAACTAAGGTTGGCTAAGGTTTGCGTTTTTTTCTCTGACTAAATAAATTGCATAAAGTAAGCGTCATTAGTCATTAAAACCCTTTAAACCGCGTTATTACTGTCATGATAGATATGTATTTGATGATTTAAACTCCGACGCAAAAAGAAGGATGTTACAAGTTCGAACGAATGGACCGATCATTTTGTGTTTTTTTTGGTTGTAAGCTGTTAATCGAGATGTTCTTCGCTATAATTTGTGAAGATCATAAGCTTATTTCTAAATGCATCAAGGGATTACACAAACTTACACAACTCCGAAGGATTTGAAATTTGGTGTGCTGTGACTTCAGTGGTATTTCCATGATATGTTAACCTTGACTTGTTGCTATAGGCAAACTTTGGGTTGATTCTGTTAGTTTTGTTCCAAATTTTTAAGTTAACACAACTTACACAAGTTAGTAATTAACTATAAAAACACAAATATTTATGCAGTAACAACACGATTATAACGATAGAGGGAGGGAGGAACAGCTGGGTCACCTGATAGTAAGTGTCTACCGTTGCTCATGGACCCTTGCAACTTAAAAGTCACCAGTGTATTACCGGTCTTTGAGTGAACCCGCTAGAAGTATGTTTTGAGAATTTGAACGTAGACATTAAAGTAAAACAAGAATAAGTGCATGGCCGAGTTGTAAGAAATGAAATAAACCCAAACAAGGGACTCGCCGTCAAGAGAGAGTGACTACTGCATTGAATATAATCAGGGTATACCTGGTTCCCCGGCTACTGTTGTACTGGAGACGGCGTGCGGTTTTGGTCAATTCGAGTCCGACATAAGTTCCGCACAGAAAAAAAAAAAGGAGTAAAGTAGAGCAAACAAAATATCTTTACATAATGTAAAATAAAGTCGCTTTTTTTTTGTTGTACGCTTACATCTTTTAAACTAAGCAACGGATTTTAATGCTGTTTTCACCTATAGAGAGTGATTCAAGAGGAAGGTTTATATGTATAATGCATGCATATTATATTTAGTAGAGAAAATCCGAGAATTTCAAAGATTTGTCGTAAAAACATGTTTTTGTGCGCTTACATTGCAAACATTGGCTAACGAGATATATCAAAATAATGTACTACAGAATTGTATATCTTAAAAGATCTACAAAAAAGTCCACGATGGTATATATCTATCTCTTAAGGATAACCCCTTTTTCTCTTAAATATTACAAAAAAATAATGGGTTATTTGCGAAGCTATTTTAAACAATTCATTTTTATTCCTTATCCAATTAAATACGTTCGATACGTTGTGCATTTAGTATCTATATATTAAAATTGCTCTTCAGAGTATATCATTAAAATAAACAATTTAGAGGATATTAAAGTTTTAAAATGCGGGGGCCTAACTGCCGTCGACAAGTACATACGTCCGTCCTGGGTGGTAATGGTATGATCGGAGCGGGCCTATAAATACTTATTGCATTTAAAGATGTCCTCTAGTATAGTCCTATCATAATAATAGTATAAGTAATTACTCCATACTGACACCACATTATCAGTATTTACATTGCACCCGTGCGAAGCCGGAGCGGTTCGCTAGTATAAAATATAACAAAATATTCCGATTCCTTATTCCCTATTAGAAAAGTCGTAACAAAATAAAAGCGTTAAAATAGGCAAAATCGTGTAAAAACAATGTGCGTAAGTAGAATCAAGTATTATAGATATTTAACTATGTCTTATGACAATGCTGAGCAGAAGAATAAAAATGGTTAAGTCTGTTCCACAGGAAATGAAATTAAGATTTTATCCTACTCTTGAAAGCTAAGTTCATCAGTCTTTACTTTTAGAAGAATATTGTTACGAGCGTGATATATAATAAATATAAAAGTTTTCTGTTAATTACTTTATTGCACTGTATTTACAAACACTCACTATAATAAACTAGAAATCACTTTATATCTATTTAGTCGCCCTAGAAATTCACTCCGATGTTAATTCGCTCGTCTCGAGCGGATAACACGCTCCGCTTTAATAACGCTATCGAATTTACTAGAAAGATCCCTACTATTCGATAGTCCGTTCCAGACACACAAGAATAGTCCAGAAAAGTCACGCGTTACTTGCAGCGCCATCTAGCGTTATAAGAATCAGAACTATTAATAACAATCTTAATAGATGTACTTTACCCATTTTATGCATTTGCACTCTGGTAGGTATGCCAGTAAGGCCTAAACGCACCCATATGAAGTTTTGGATGCACCCATTTCATTTTGGGTGCACTATACCTGTCCATGACATTAAGAATAATAGAAGGTACTTAATCTGTTCTTTACTTTATTTATTTCACTGAAGACTACACACTCAAAACATATGGTGAATAAACTGTTTGTAATGATAACATTAACCTAATAATACATGTAGTTGACATTATATTTTAAACTAAATAGTCATGAATAACTGAGTTCAAATTAGAAACATATAAAAAGTGATAGTACTAGGACAAAAAATTACAACAAGAAATCAAAAAAACACTTAATACT